GGAGATGGGTGCAAAAGAGAATGAGATGGTTGGATGGCATCACTGACTCAATGGACATGAGGGTGAGCAAACTCTGGGAGATAGTGAAGGATAGGGAAGTCCGGCATGCTGCAGTTCATGGAGTCGCAAAGAGTTGGACGTGACTTAGCGACTGAACAACAACAAATATAGTCTTTCTGAATTATATAATTGCATGTTCACTACTTAAAGTTTGAAAAATATAGAAGATCAGAATATTATTTGCATACTCCTTGATGCTACATTTGAGTGATTATGGTGACTTTTTTTTTATGTGTTTGTGTAGGTCAGAACACTATATTTAATAAAAATTGAAATATTCTTCTACAATATGATGTTTAATATCTGTAGAAGTTATCATTATATGAAAGTGGTATAGCTGATTAAACATATTCCTAGAAGTTTTTTGCATATTTAGGCTTCAGACAATATGTGTCTATGTACTATCACCTATACTATTATTAAAAATATAAAACACAATAACAAACTATTCAACATTTTAGCAGGCTTAAATTTTTGTACATGTAACAGCAATAGACTCATTTTTCTCTTGTTCCCGAGGATAATATTGACAATAGATAAGACAGCCCACATTTTGGATGTTAGGTACTTCTCACAAATACTATCATGAGTATTACTATCATTATGAATAAATGAGTTAATTACTATGTATGTGTGAACTCTGAGGTGTTCACCATGCTAGGAATGACATTAGGACTTTGTGTCTATTTTATCTCTGTTAATCAGCAGCAGCATCTTTCATAGATGGGCAAATATGCAATGAAATATAAGCAAAAAGCACTGGGGAAAGCTTTGAGAATGTATGATAGGCATACAGAGAAGTTAGTACATAGCAATACATGGAAACTATGCATAGACACTATGTAGAAGCTACATAATTTCATTTTCTTCCCGTTGTTCTCTAGGAGAACATAGAAGCAGACTGTTGATCTGATCATTGTATTGGTTTTCATTTTAAATTATAAAATTACTGAGATAAGTAGGTTTTTTTTTACTTTATTTACAGACATAAATGAAAGCTCTTAAAAAGGCAGGTCTCCTTGTGCAGAAATCTGAAAAATACTAATTTCAGTTATCAAGGATTTATTATATAACTCCATTCCCCCCAATAATATGGTTCACATTTCACATACTATGGTGTGTTAACTGTGACCGGTCTTGAGAAGCACAAACTTAATTGCTGGTTCCTCAGTCCACAGAAATCGCCACGTGAATGACAGATGTACATCTTAACACATGATCAGTAACGTCACACTTTTCAAAGTCTGTCTGTGGTTGGCCATCACACATTTGCTGTTCAGTTCTCATGAAGTCAGCAGAGAACATAGTGTACTACAAATTTGTCCCCAGAGAAGAACCCACCTGATATTTTATAAAAATACACCATCAAAAGAGAGAATTAGTGATGAAGCTGGAAGTGTAGCAAAGAAGTGAAAATTGATAACGCTAAAGTGAAATTTGAATCATAAATGTAGTCATGGACGAAAAAGCTGAATGTAGAAATGATATCACCTTTTGAGAGAGTCTAGATATGCAGCCAGAGGACTATAGTGAAAATGAACTTAATCAAAACAAATGTAAACCATGGTTGAGATAAAAAGGAGGAAGATTTCCCAGAGGTAGTGACACCAGAAAAAAAAAAAAGCAAATCCACATTAAAGAAATTCCTAGAAATACCAGGACACGGGGCTTCAAAGGATGAAATGTTGGCAGCTGATCCAGACTTCCAAAGGAACATGAAGATTACACAAAGCACAGGGAAGATGCTCGTTTGGGATCATAAGTTATCAGATGAGAAGAAGAAGGCAAGTGCTGTGTAAACTACTCCTGATAAGTTTCCTAAAAAGAACTAAAACAATTTTTAATTTTTTAGGGTTTCCAATTAGTGTACTAAATATTTATTTACAGTTTTTTATTTCCCTATACTTCTATAACCACAAGTGAGAGGGATTTTAATATTTTAACAAAAACTTGCACCCAGAGCACAATTGCATGTTTATCCATTGATTGTAGAGGTTGCACAGTTGTTCTTACAATCCTGCACTACTGTCCAAAGCAGGACCTGCCTGAATACCTACACCCCAATGGGTAGATGCACCTGATTCACTGTAAATCTGTGTAACACTGACCTTTTAGTTTTTGTCACTAACCTTTTAGAAACCTGTTCAAGATATAATCAAATTATTGAATTTCATGATTTGAAATGTTCATATCCATTCTGTTTCTTCTTAGGTAAAAAGAGGGAGGCATCAGTTTTTTATTTTTTGTAAAATTAAAGATCTTTCCAAAGACCCAACTAGCAAAGAGGAATTTAAATTTTGTGTTAACACGTACAAAGAAATGGAACTAATTTGAGGGCAACAGCATGCATGTTAGTTAAGAAAATGGTTGCGTTCTCTCAGAAGCTCGAAGTGGAGGGCAGAATAGGAAACTAACTTCCATCATGCCAGGTATAAGTCACAGGAGAACAGCAAGCTGTGGGGTTTGCATGTCCTGGTCACCCACTGAATGACTGCAGGATTAGAAGTTCTTATGAAACGCTTTCCTGGCCAAAGCAGTGATGTGTGAGGGTGTCTGATGGTTGAGGTCTCATTTATCCTGCAGCTTTGTACCTGAATATTATTTAGGCCCATTATGCAGTAGAAGCCATTAAACATCTGTGCACTTGCTGGCCACTTCAGCTGTGACAGTGAACTGTGAGATGATTGGAGAGACTGTGTGTAAATGTCCTCTGGGTTATGTGCAGGGATGCCGTAACTGTGATAATCCAAGCAATGATCATCGGCTACCACTCTGTCTACGCTGAAAGTGAGAGCCGCAGAAAATCATCTGTTTTCAACTGGGAAGATTCCTTGTTGTGATTTTTTTCTAAAAGAGCGAATACAGCAAAAATGTGAAGGCTAAAAGCTTCAGAGATTAAATCGCCCTTGAGTTCCTTCCCAGTATTGATAGTGGTCTTGTCATGTGGGAAATTTAGGCAGGTTGCTCTTGTTCCTAGAAGCTGATGTTAGGATAGTTATCAAGTCTGGTTGAACTGTATTTCAAGAAAATCTCATTACAGAGATGGCTGTAATGCCATGTGCCAAGAAATTTTCTGTGGCTTGAAACCATCTTCTGGTTTTTATTATTTTTTATTATCTTTATTGAGATGAAATTCAGACAACACAAAATTATGCATTTTAAAGCATATGATTCATTGGCATTTTGTACATTCACAGTGTTGTGCATCTGTTATCTCTGTCTAGTTCCAAATTATTTTATCACCCTGATATAAAGCCCCACGCCCATCAAGAAGTCACTACATTCCCTTGCCTGCTCCGCCCGGCCACCTCCTAACAGCATGACATTTTCGACAAGGTTCATCCATACTGTAGCATGCACCAGTGCTTCATTCCTTTTGATGCCTGAGCAGTATCCCGTTGTATGGATATGCCACAGGGTGTCTGCCATCCATCAGTGGACATCTGGGTTAGTTCCACCTTTTGTGAATAATACCACTATGAGTATTTTTGTACGGGTATTTTGAGTACTTGTTTTCTGTAGTCTGGGGTATATACCTAGTAGTGAAATTTCTGGGTCTTACAGAAGTCTGTGTTAACCTTTTATTTATTCTTCTTCTGACTTTATGTGTTTATTTTTGTGCTGGAACTTCGCTGCTGACTGTGGGCTCTCTCTTCCTTGCGGCGGCGTCTCTTGCCGTGGAGCGTGGGCTCAGTCACTGTGGCTCATGGCTCAGGCTCTGCAGCCTGTGGGATCTTCCTAGACTAGAAATTGAATCCGTGTCCTCTGCTTTGGCAGACGGATGCTTAAACACTGGACCACCAGGGAAGTCGCTGTGTTAACTTTTTGAGGATTCACCAAACTGTGTTCTGCTTTGCAGCTTTTAGTTGTGCCACATGTAAGGAGGAAATACTTGTTCCCACTCCTAATGCTTCCTGTGGTTCACTCTGCCCTATATTCAGTCTACCCCAGAGGAGGTAGAGTGGCTTGCCTGAGAGCCTGCAGAACACATGTCTTCCTCTCCTTTCCTCTCTCCAGCCCTTTTAGGTGGAGAGGCTGGTCCCAGCCTGTTCTGATATGACCAGATGGAGAAGGCTTACTGGTTCTCATGTACTGTATGGAGACCAGTTGGGCTTTCCTCTCTGAACTGACCTCTAGCAGAACAAATGCAGATCTTTGTTTTTTAAATTGGTTTGTCAAGTAGTCTGGAACCTATGCAGGGTTCAGTATGTTATATTGTTGGGGATTCTTTTGGGAATCCCACAACTTAGGATCTAAAAAGTTAGGAGGCCAGAAGAATTTGAACTTTGTAAATGTGGCCTGGACTTGCAGGTTTAAGATCTAACTGCCAGTTACATTTAGCAATGTCAACTTGATGAAGTCACCTAATATTTGACTTTCAATTTCTTTGTCAATGAAAATGAGAGAATCCCGTTCACGCTTCTTATGTAACAAATATGCCGTGGGACTCATGTCCGTATCAAAGCAGATGCATGGTAGCAAATGACCTGACCCAAGGAGAAGGTCTAATTTACATTTTTGTTTCAAATATTTTAATACCTTTTTTATAAGGTTTTTATGGTGTAAGTAAAATACCATATCTGAATTTTAATAAGCTGACCACAAAATTTCCAGCAGAATGATTGCTGCAGGAATATGGTACAGATAGAGAAGTTGGTAAGTCTCCAACTTTAAGGAGAAAACAGATGACCTACCCGGGTAAGCATTCACCTCCCAACACCTGATGATGTGATCAGAGTGCCTGGCTACTTCTCCACTAAGGTCATTTCAGACTCTGAAATTGAAGAAATGATTTTTATTTGGAAGGAAAAAAAAAAACATTTTAAGGCAACTCTGTGATGATATAAAGACAGTTTTGTGAATTCATTTAGCCACCTCTCGATTCCCAGAATGCTCCTCCAGTAAGAAGTGCTCTTATCTCTTCTTGTATCTTGTCTTAGGTTACACGCCACCTTTCCAAACTCTTCGACAGCATTGCGGATCTGCAGTTTGAAGGTGATCAGGATGTCTCTGCACACAAGGCGGTTGGAATGTACAGCAAAGACAAGGAGTACGTCCCATTCCCAGCAGAGTGTGAATGCATAGGCCATGTAAGAGCTGATTATGAGATTCTCTATGCTAGGGGAGGATGGGGGTGTCATTTTTAAAAGTTGAATGGAACCAGAAATTGTCCGTTCATGTCAGTTGTCAGGCTCTGCTTAGTCTTGTGCTTTGAAATTCCTGTTTACGTCGGTCTGGTGTGTCCGAGGAGTCCTCTGCCAAGCTTCCTACCCTGTGCATCAGGCTTCAGCAGCCTGCACGGGCTTGGAGATACTAGCAGTTGAGCTGGGCAGGAAGGACTGCCACGGACTGAATGAGCAGACCCCAGAATTAGTAGCAAATGCCACCCAGTGACTGAGTCTCCTGCAGAGAGAATTACTTTCAGCCCTGCTCACCATTCGGGGAAGGATCAAGGTGAAGCAGTGCCTTGCAGTGAAGCACATTAGAAAGTGGCTGCAGTTTAGGATTCTGAGGTGGATGTTGTCAGTGGCTGCTTGTAAATAACTTTGGTTGAGTCTGCAAAGCTGATGTCACATATACCAGTTACCGCATCCACAGACAGTTAACATGTTCTCTTCTCTCACAAACATCTCAAATATATTCTTAACAGTTATCTGTAAGAACAGCTCGTTATGATTTATGAAGGAGCTATTGGTGTTTTCAGATGATTTAGAGGAATTGCATCTTTTTATGATGATGCTTGTATAACTTAAAATTTAATCCACAAGTAACGGCGAGAGTAGCCTCTATTAAAGAACAGTTTAGGTTGAGGCAGGGGGTTCTTTCAAGGGCCCTTTACAGAAATCTGATGGCAGCCTCTTTTTCTACAGGGGTTTTCTCTGTTGCTTTTTAATATTGTACCAGAAAATCCTGCCAAATGCAGGGAAAGCAGATGGTGGAATACTTTGATTAAAGTATATATTTGATCTCTTGGGCTCTTTAGGATATTATTACAGTGATTAGAAAAAATCACCATAAACTATCTTGACAAAAGTGTGTTGCTGTCTGCCTCCTCCCTAGCAGACTGCTAGCTGACTGGCATAGTGCCTGGAAGGAGGACAGTCCAATTGATGGATGCGGTTGTCACTAGCAGAAACCTTTGATATTGAAAGTTTTCACAGTGCTCTAATTTATCCTGTATAAGCAACTTATGCTAGAGACTTTTGGGCATGTACCACATGTACCCTCTAATTGCCTTTCTTTTATTAAAATATGCTTTTCCTTTAGGTCTTCCACCCACCCCACACTTTTATGATTGGTTCCTCCCAATTTTGGCTGTTTGCCTTTTATTTGACAAGTGTTTATTGAATACCTACTATGTACCAGCCACTGGGTTTGGCCTTTGGAAATCCAGAAATGAGTAAGACATAGCACCTGTCCTTTGGGAACTCTTGGGCTCTTTGAAGAAATAGATGTTCACATAATTAGTGATAACAGGAAGTGACGATTCTTGTTACAAAGAGTTAGACAAAAGCTGATGAAAGACTAAGATGTGAGAAGGTATCAAGCAAGTACCTCATCAGGGCTTAGTTCTCAACTCATTGAGCTGAGTTGCTCTTGGTGGCATAGTCTCTAAACATGGGCTGATGTGTGTGTATGTATGTATGGTACATAACACATACCGTGTATGTATGTTTGGTCTTCCCAGATGGACTGGAGAGTTCTGAAGAACAGGTGGCCGTATTGAGGACATGGATCCCAGAGCATCTGGGAGATGCTAAAATGATGTATGACTTACTTACTGAAGGAGCCTGTTGCTTGGTGACATTGAGTTGTGCTGAGTGACGATAGTAGTGCTTAGATCTCCTGCACTCAGGCATGGGAACAAAGCCCGGCTAGGAGGCCAGGGGAGAAGGCTCCTAGGATATTGGGCCATAGCAAAGGCCATGCTTCCTTCTTCCAATAGGGAAGGCTGTCAACTCATTGACCACATATCACTCCTTCCCAGTTCTCCAGAGAAAGAGGTTATAGGAATGAATACTGCTGCCATCTTCACAGAGGCAGGGAAAGAAATCAATTATATAATTTCAGGATCTCATACAGTCCTTGGAATTTATTTAGTATGGTCATTTTTATCACTATGATCAATTATTTTCAAATGGTATAGGTATCCTTTTGTTATATAACATCATCCCCGGGAGACATATATACAGATAAATATAACAAAGCATATTTGAATAGAATAGAAAACTGGCTGAAATATATCTGTGGGAACAAAATACACTTTGAATGAATTTTTTTCAAGATTGATTTTCACAAGTCAGCAGTTGTCCTCTTTCTCATCTCTCCTACTGTCTAATTTCTGACAAGTGTGAAGATGAGAGCCAGTAGGGAATATAATTAAGACACTTGCTGAAAACACTGTAAGACTAGGTACTATGGAGATTTTAGGGTAGAATCTTCAGTATATTTAAAAATCATCAAAAATAAATTAAAAAATCAATTTTCTAGACTCACACAGAAAGCAAATTTATGGTTACTGAAGGAGAAAGGGGACAAAGGGATAAATTAGGAGGTTGGGATTAACAGATACACACTACTATATTTAAAATAGATAAACAGCAAGGACCTATTATAGCACAGGGAACTGTGTTCAATATCTTATAATAACCTATAATGGCAAAAAATCTGAAAAATAATACATATATATGTATAATTGAATCACTTTGCTGGACACCTGAAACTTAGCACCGCATTGTTATATCAGGTACACTTAAAAAAATCCATATCCTGTGATTTTCAAATCTCTAGAATTTTACTCTAACATACTGGCTGTGATGTTTGGTTTCTCAAAACACTGTGTGTTGCCAGACAGGAACTTGATCTAGAGCCCTCTGGTCTTCAAATCTGAAAAATGAAGAATGGAGAACACCTTGTCTGGTTAGGGTGTGGAAATTTATGAGGCAGCTGGTAGGTGAAAGAAGATGAGTGGTATCCTGTCAGAAGACAGTTTTCTGTAGGGAAGACTTCCTCTGTCAGTAGTTCACCAGCCCCTTTGAGTTACCTTCTAGTACAGGAGTTTAAAACATTGGGTTGGCCAAAAAGTTCATTTGAGTTTTTCCATGAGATCTTACAGAAAGCCTGACCAAACCTTTGGCCAACCCAATAAATCCACCTGAGGCCTTCCTCTCTTTGTAGCCTTCAAGCCTGAGAGAGGATAGCATTATCCCTCTTCCATAGGTAAGCCTGTGTTACTACATTTGTTTGCTTTAAAAGGTGGAAACCTGGCTCCTGAAGCTGGAACGGACCATGCAGGAGACAGTGCGTCATTCCATCACAGAGGCCATCGCAGTCTATGAAGACAAACCCAGGGAACTGTGGATTTTTGATTTCCCGGCTCAAGTTGCGCTAACTAGCTCACAAATATGGTGGACTACAGATGTAGGAATAGCCTTCAGTAGGCTAGAGGAAGGCTATGAAACGGCCCTAAAGGATTTCCATAAAAAACAGGTATTTTGTAAAATTCGTGATTTTGCGATTTTAAGGGACTGGAAGAGGTAACCTTGCTTCATTCATTCATTCTTGTTTATGAAGTGTTTTATGTGTTAAGGGCATGATGCTGGGGAAATTTTTAGCAGTCACTTGTTTATCCATTTTTTAGCTTGGTGGTGTTCTTATTTTTTACATTGGTTTAAAAAAATCCATCTTTAAACAACAAGGTCCTAATAGCACAGGGAACTATATTCAATATCCTGAAATAAGCCATAATGGAAAGAATATAAAAAAGTATTATATATATATGGATATATATATGTATACACACACATATATATATAAAACTGAGTCAGGTGGCTGTACAGCAGAAATTAATGCAGCATTGTAAATCAACTATACATCAATAAAAAAAAAATCCATTCTTGTCTGTTATCTTGGAAGAATCTAGTCTATCACCCACACCTAGATATGGTACCGATTTCTTTCTCCTAGGTAAGACTCTCCATCTAGACTGATCACATACTTGGTGCATGATTTTCTTGACTCAGTAAGACAGAGGATTGTTCAAACAAGACAAATGTTTTCATGTATTTTCTTTTTCTGTTCATTATAAATCACAGGTGAGCAACTTTTGAAGAGAGTCTATTTTGAACTCCATTTTATTTACCCCAGTCATTCTATTACTTCTCTTTAAATTTCCCCTCTTAAGATGTGCTCTTGGCTGTGAAACAATTCAGAGATAGAACCTTTCTCTTGGCTTATAGATTAAGAGAATATGAGGCTTATCTTCTAGGGCCAAGATGCTCAGTATTTTCCATGTGTCAGCAGCATTGGTATCACCAGAGAGCGTGACAAAAATACAAAATCTCAAGGCCTACCCAACACCTACTGTACCAAAGTATGTTTTTTAACAAAATTCCCAGAAGATTTGTATGCAGTTGAGTTTGAAAAGCTTTGTTGTGTATTTTGGAAAAAACCATGCTGGTGTGATTGTGCATAAGCATTATATATTAGAATAAATATTATTAGTTAAGAAAAAGGGAATATTACACTTTGAAAGATACTTATTTTTTAACTTTCTGTTTTATATTGGAGTATAGTTGATTAACAGTGTTGTGTTAGTTTTAGGTGTGATTCAGTTACACTTATACATGTATCTATTATTTTTCAAATTCTTTTCCTGTTTAAGTTGTTACATAGCTGAGCAGAGTTCCCTGTGCTGTATAGTAGGTCTTTATTGCTTATCTATTTTAACTATAGCACTGTGTTCCTGTCTATCCCAATCTCCCTAACTATCTGTTTAAATATTTTAGTATATGTGCTGCCAAAGCGAGCACTGTTTAAATATTAGTTTGTCTACCCTTCTTGTATTCAGTGGATAAAGTCAGAATTCAGATTTGTTAAATGACTTTCCCAATGTTATAAAATTTGTAAGTAACACAGGTGTAGTCCACCAGCTTGAGAATGCTTTCCATTCCTCTGCATTGCTTCTCTTCTTAGCAGTATTTTAACTGGAGTGCCTTAAAAATCATATAGATTTGGATAATGAATACTTGGGTTGATTCAGTTCAGTTCAGTTGGTCAGTCATGTCTGGCTCTTTGTGACTCCATGGACTGAAGCACGTCAGGCCTCCCTGTTCATCACTAACTTCTGGAGCTTGCTCAAACTCAAGTCGATTGAGTCAGTGATGCCATCCAACCATCTCATCCTCTGTCGTCCCCTTCTCCTCCTGCCTTCAATCTTGCCCATCATCAGGGTCTTTTCCAGTGAGTCACTTCTTTGCATCAGGTGGCCAAAGTATGGAGTTTCAGCTTCAGCATCAGTCCTTCCAATGAATATTCACGACTGATTTCCTGTAGGATGGACTGGTTGGATCTCCTTTCAGTCCAAGGGACTCTCAAGAGTCTACTCCAATACCAAAAAAGCATCAAAAGCATCAATTCTTTGGTGCTCAGCTCTCTTTATGGTCCAGTTCTCACAGCCATACGTGACTACTGGAAAAATTATTCCTTTTAATTTGGCTCTTATAATCTTGGGTGTCTGTGTATGCTCAGTCATGTCCAACTCTACAGTTCATGGACTGTAGCCTGCCAGGCTCCTCTGTCGATGAGATTATCCAGGCAAGAATACTGGGTTGCCATTTCCTTCTCCATTCATCTTGTGTAGAGACCACCTAACATATTTATGTTTCTAAAGAAGTTTTTGCATCCTTTACTTTTGAAGGACAGTGTATTCTTGATTTTACCTCCTTAGGAAAATGGGGCATGAATTTCTATTTAGTAGGCTTGAAGTTACAGGTTTAGATTGATAGACATGGCTGTTTATTCCCTAGGACAGTATCTCTGCCATTGTCGTCAATGTCACATGGATGAGAAAGCTGTTTTTTTCCATGGGTAAAAATAACTGAGATGAGTAAATTGTAATGAATCCTATTATGCTTATAAAATTAACTTTCTGGTTAGTTGATTTATTGTTATCTATGCTATTGTTATAACTGCAGTATTTTTATTATATATTTTAAAATATATATAAGGATACTATAAAATACTTAATATCCTGTCTTAAATTTCAGCTACTGTTGATCACTCCTCAAATTTCAGTCTTTCAAGAAGCATATTTCTACTTACTCTATGCTAATATTTTCTCCTCTCTCCATTAAATTCACAGTAGACATTATCAAATAGTATCCTTTTATGTGGCTATACCAGAATTGATGTCCTCCTTTCCATTCTCCTTGCTCCCATTATTTTTTGTGATAATTAGAATAATGCTTAAAACAGTAAATGATATTTTCTGAATATTTCTTTTTTATATCAACTTTATCATTTTCAATTTCACATTTTCATTATTATGTATGTATTGTTAAAGATGAAAATTCAGATATAGAAAGAAAAAAAGGCAAATATTTTTTTCTTTTTTAAAAAATTAAATTATTTTAATTTGAGGATAATTAATTTATAATATTGTGATGATTTTTGCCGTACATCAACATACATCAACCATGGGTACCCATGTGTCCCCCACCCTGAACCCCCGCCACGTCCCTCCCCACTCCGTCCCTCTGGGTTGTTCCAGAGCACTAGCTTTGGGTGCTCTGCTTCATGCATTGAACTTGTACTGATCGTCCGTTTTACATATGGTAATGTATATGTTTCAGTGCTATTCTCTCAAATCATCGCCTTCTCCCACATAATATAAAACTCTGTTCGTTACATATGTGTCTCTTTTGCTGTCCTGCATGTAGGATTGTCATTACTGACTTTCTACATCCCATGTATGTGTTAATATAAAGCATTTGTGTTTCTCTTTCTGTCTTACTTCACTCTGTATAACAGGGTCCAGTTTCATCCACCTCATTAAAACTGACTCTAAAAAACACACATAGATGCACTTCCCACAGAAAAGCATTGACAACTTTTTGGCATAGAGACGTCAGAAATTTTTCCTTGTATCTACTGTTACTTTCTTTCTGTATAAATGTGTGTGTGTGTGTTGGTATGTATCTGTTCCCATGTTGGTATGTAGCTGTTGCCATTTCCTTCTCCAGGTGATCTTCCCAACCCAGGGATGGAACCTGAGGGTCCCACATTACAGGCAGATTCTTTACAATCTGAGCCACAGGGGTCACCTGTAACCATAGTTACTTATGTTGATTGTATGTGTATAAATAAGAGAAACGTCTTTTTTTTTTTTTTACTTCCATGCATTTTGTTACATTTTCCCTTGACATACATAATATCAAATTCACACTAGAAATGGTCAAATAATATTCCTTTATGTGACTATACCAGAATTGATGCCCTCCCTTCTGCCAGATTCAGGTTGGCTCCAACAGTCTGACCGCTCTTCAGGCACATTCTAGGCTGTGTGGGTCTGGCTGTGTAGTTTCTGTTCATGATGCTTACATTCTGCCTTTAATAGTTCTTACCTCTTCCTCCTAAAGACCTTAGAGGGCGTTTCTCCATCTCCACTTCCCCATTTACTTGTTGTCTAATCTTGTCTTGTATTAACCCCTGGCTCATTGTGTTATCATTTTAAATCTTACATAGATTTATCAATATATTTAACAAAGACTTTGCTCATTTTTTTAAATGCTGCTTCTTATTTCTAAGTCCAGTTTTTCTTTTGAAGTATATCTTGTAGCTCTTTGCCGAGTGATAATAGGGAGTTTTCTGATCTCTTGTCTTTTTTGACTTCTTTCTTGATAGTTTAAGTAGAGAATTAAAAATTGAGGATTATTATCATTTAGAATTTTTAAAATATTCCGTTATTTGGGGGCCTTTATGGTTGTAAAGTTTTAGGTCAGTCAGATTGTTTTTCCTGCATAAATAATCTGTCTTTGGCAGATTATACAACTTTATTTTTCTTTTTGTGTTTCTGATGTTTTATTTTACTCTTGTGTATTTTGTGTGTATGTGTGTGTGTGCTTTTTAAACTTGGTTTGCTGAGGACTGAGTGAGCTTTGTGAATCTTTAGTTCCATGTCTGTCTTCAGTTTGGGAAAATTCTCTTCCATTTTTTCTTTGATGCGTTCTTTCTGTGGTCTCTCTTTTCTTTCTCTGTAATTTTATCAGCTGTATGTTGAAACTTCTCATGTGATCCTCTTTGCCTTTTAACCTTTATTTTTTCAAACTTTCCACCTTTTTTGTGTGCAATTTCAATGACTTTTGGAATCTGTCTTCCAGTTCACTGTTTCCTCTTGTTTATAATGAAGAAAAAAGAGTCCAAGGCCAGATTACATAGATTCAAACCTCAGCTTTGCCTTTTATTAGTTGTATGACTTTGAGCAGGTTATTTAACCACTCTGTGTGCCTCAATTTCATGATCTGAAAAACAGATAATGATGACATCACAGTATTGTCAGAGGATTAAATTAGTTAATATCAGGAAAAAACTATTTAAAAGTACTTGACAAAATTTAAGTGCTATGTGTTAGCTTTTGCTGATACAATGAAAATAATGATAGCAATGGCAATGTTGTCTAATGTGATGCATAATTTAAGGAGTTCTTCCCC